ACGCCTAACCTCCATGTTGCTCACCTTATTATGCCACTTTACACGGGAAATAGAACGCAGGCACCTATGATCAAAGGCAGCTAGTCTCTTCATGTCTTCCACTCTCAGTGGCCAGGTCTCACAACCATAAAGGAGGACGGAGCGGACTGATGAGCAGTACACCCGCCCTTTGGTCGATAGTCGAACATCTCGTCTACGCCAGAGTCGGCGTAAACTAACAAATGCGAAACGAGCCCCTTGTATTCGTGCTGAGATTTCGTCAGAGATCAGCCCGTTGGCACTGGCTGATGGTACTTCCCAAATAAGTGAAGCGGTCAACGTGCTCTACCACTTCACTTCCTATTTTTAAACTAGGCGTCGATGTAGTCCAGTCCTGTAACATCATCTTGCATTTGGCGGGAGCGAATCGCATTCCAAACATTCCTAGATTGCTGTTCAAGGTGTTTAGAAGACTCTGCATTTTGTCAGCGTCTTCGCCTAGAAGGACTATATCGTCTGCATATTCCAAGTCAACGAGATTATTCCCAGGTAGCAAGTCAATCCCTGAATCGCTGAAGTCACCTAGGGTTAAGTCCATTAACACATCTATGATGAAGTTGAATAGAAAAGGAGATAATGGACATCCTTGACGGACACCACTGGTCGTCATCAGTTCAGATGACAGCTCGCCGTAAGCCCTCACCTGGCTGTATGAGTACGAATAGAGTGCCTTAATCAGTGCAATATATTTTCTTGGAACTCCCTTTACAGCCAGGGATTTAATTAGGTTTCTTTTGTTGCTATCCTCTTATCAACATCCAATTCATCTGAACTTACTAATTGTATTTTCGTTTGACAAATTTAATGTATACACACACGCACACACACACACACAAAATAACCATATATATTTGCGATTGTGCAGCTATGAAAATGAATTCGCCGAAAAGAGACTCTTCGCTGAACTACTTGTCTTCTGTCTACTAATGTTCGAATGGGAATTATTCATGTATATTAGTCATTTCCATATATACTTTTGTACTGTACACTTATATACATTCTTGTTCACACGTTTCGTACACTCGTACCATTTCACTCACACACTTGTGTGACATTTATTTTCCTTGTCTGGAAAATACAAGTATCATCGTTAACCTCGTGGTCTTCTGATTTCCGTCTTTCTGCGTCAGGACTATTAACTACTCGACGAGTAGATAATATAATTGGCGACGGGGAAAACTCTTATAACTCACTCAGCAGCAGTACATAACAGTACTTTAGATACTGCTTCTGGTCTCTTACTGAGATGGAGTCAAATATGTTCAGTGTACCTCCCTTGACTACATATCCAATTTTGACTATGTATCCAGGTGCCTATTGATAAATAAGCTCTCTCTCTCTCTCTCTCTCTCTCTCTCTCTCTCTCTCTGACACAAAGTCAGTCCTCGGTGGTTAACTAGTTGTATTCCTATTTCTCGAACAGAATGCAGTATACTGTATATAAAGGCGAATCTTTCTCTACCTTGCTTGTTCATTGAAGCTGGAGTCCCTCAAGGTGCTGTTCTCTCTCTCTCTCCCTCCTTTTCTTTTTTCTTTCTTCTTACACAACTTACCTCTTTCGGATGAAATCAGCTTCGTTAAACACGCTGATGACTGTCTCGTTGCCAGTTCCGTCCCAATCTGATTGTTTCAAACTTTTAATGGCTTTTTGTCCGACATTAGTCAGTGGTCTAAGCTAAATAGCCTTATCTTAAATCCTTTTTAAAGTGTCAGACAGCTAACTTCACCTTCAAGTAGGAAACGTGATCTACACGAACGTTTTCGTTCACGAGATACTGCTTGTAGCATAGAACGGCACTGAAATAGAAACTAGGTCAAGCACAGTAAATACCTTCGTATACCTTCTTTCCTCTGACGGTTCTTCGTTTGGTCATCCCATATCTTGTGAATTTCTAAGGAAATGTCCTGTCTAACTTTCTACATTGAGAAGTTCAGTTAATCAGAAATCACTCACCCTCTACTTCTACACAGTTTGTTAACTGTTGCAGCTTATCTATTGTACTTTAGTGCTCCCTACCCCACTTAGTCTTTGCTTCTGGGCTACTAAAATACGAATATGTCATATTGTGAAGGATATTAAAGTTGGTCAGTAGAACAAGTGGTGTGTGCCAGTCAGTCAACCAACTCATTAATACTGTAATCGATAGACACCTGAACTCATGTGAATAAATGGTCTAAATCCATACTGTCTAACTCTCAACACTTCACCCTCTCTTTGTTCACAAATCTCCTCACCTTGAGTTTCATCTTGAAGGACAAGAAGTCATCATAACTACAAATTATATACTCGTACAAGCAAGTACAGAAACTCAACGATACCCTCTATTTAGCCCTCCCACATTCTATGTGATGATAGAGAAAGTGTCAAGCGTGAAACTTACAACTGACTATGTTATGTAGCAAAATAAATGACTCTTTTATCCTCTCCTATTGATAATCTATGAGGACACTGTTTCAATCAGCTTATAATTTTAGCTGTTAACATTATTTTACCCTTTTTGTACACTTTTGACTTGAATATTAGAAAAAGACGCATATAAGCGAACAATATTGCTGTTTTCAATTAGACCTTCCTTCAAGCTTTACTCTAATTTACATAGACTTATATATATTTTTTTTCTTTCACGTTTCCCAGTGGAACATAGGGCTTCCAGCTGGTGGCTTGAAGTTTCTGTAGCAGTGGTGTTTATTTTTACAGGATGAGGTTGCTAGCCTCGTGCATGCCCAACCTATCCCCTTTACCAGCATTATTTCTGGGTTAGCGAGGATCGACCCATAGACTATGTGCATGGTCGGCGAGCGTCCTAACCGCTATGCCACCGACACACAAGACTTATGTATAAACAATTTTAACCAATCACGGTGATTTTGTGGATCAAATAATAATAGTAATAATAATGTGGTAAATGTTTTGAACGAAATTAATAACGATGATTATAATGATAACAAAATATTGACAATACGGTTTATGCAGGTGGCGATAAAAATAACAAAGGTAGTAAGTAATACGTGTGTATATGTAGACAATTCAATAAATAAAGAAATTAGGTCAAATCTTAAGAGGTGAAACAGAACGATAATTAGAGTTTAAATTAATATCATAAAAATAAGGAGACGGAAAATAAGAAAGGGTGGGAGGATTTTGAATAGAATTCACCTAGGCGAGCAAGGGAGAGACACGAAGGTAGAACAAACTTCTTTTGTTGTATGCAAAGACTACGATTGTTCTCTCGAATTCCCATAGCTTCAGCTTCAGTGTAAAAGACGGGTTCTGATTCCGTTAGAAAGACTCGAAGGACTACGATAGATAACTTTGAAGGCCGTACTTCTGTCCACTTAGTGACAGCTGTCATCAATCAAATGAGCCAAAATACACCTTCTTATAGATTTTATTTGACCTTTTCCAAACCATGAAGGAAGATACTCATTAATGCGTTTGTTAAGCTGTCTAGTTGTTCGCCCTATATAACCGGCTCTCTCCACAGGAGCAACTAAATTTATAGATACACATGGAAGTGGCACAGCTCAGTAGCTTATCTTTCACTTGAGCAATCAAAATTGGTCGGTTAGAAAATGACAAACAAAGGGTGGCGGCAGTATAAGTCCGTTTTTATCGCTCTCTATAATCTCCAATGTAAGACTTCACCATTACATTGCAATTTCATGAACAGCTGTCTCCTTTTAACTGCACCTGGTGTTCATGTGTCTCCTAAAAACTCTACTAGAATAACCCATTTAGATCAGCGTATTTCGGATGTATTCTAACTCATCACTTTTGACTTTACTATCACTGATAAATAGTAACCAAATCAGTTACCCTATTATTCATCCTGTGCGTCAATGACACACACCGGTAGAATGCTCACCAACGACACCACACCACACGTGGTTCACGGTTCGATACTCGGTCACAGATGCATTCCCTTACCTCGTTAATCCGGTAACAGGACTGGTGAAGAGGGTAGGTTGGCAGCATGAGGCTAACAGCCAAACCCACCCCATCACCATAAAAAAATAAATACCTCCACATCATCCAGCGCGAATCACCATCAACGGGAGGGATTTGAAAGAGGTTACTTCATTCACTTCACTGATCTAGTTAGCGTTGTCTCAACTACAGGCAGTCGGAATGGACGAGGATGTCAAATAGAGCGAGAATCGGGAAGGTGAGAAACACATTCATCATCAACCTGAAACCAATCTGGAAATCTTCGTCACTCAGCCAGCATCAACAACAGAATTCAGTCAGATTTTCAATACAAACGTAAATTCAGTTCTTCTATACGGATCAGAAACTGGTCGGGTGGGTCACAAAGAATATTTCCAACAGCCTGTTGCAGACGTTACCTTTATCAACAACTGTCTTCGCTGGCTCTATAATGAAGATCAGATAGCCGGACCGGAAAGAATCACCAACAAGAAACTATGGCTGGGAACAAACAAAACAAGAACCAATCACCAACCAACAAATATGCAAAAGAAAGTGGAGATGGATTGGACACTCACTCGCTGAGGAGGCCGCCACTGGGTGGCATCGCGCGCGCATCAGGCCATTGCTCGAGTGGAACCCGACACAATGGGAAGCGGCTAGTGGGATGTCAGTGCAAGGGTGACATGGAGGAGATCGTGTGAAGAGAAGTTGAAACAGTTAGTATGGACTAACATGGATGCAGGTGGAAAGTACAGCAGAAGGAAGACAGAAGCAAGTGTAGACACGTGCAGTTGAAGCCTTATGTTCCATTAGGAACCCAAGGGAACAATAATAACTACCGAAACTTCATGCATTGCTCAAGAGCCTAAAAGCCCCCACCCTCCCCCCAATATATGTTCCACTGGGAATGTACACGAATGACAAAAAAGAGAGTTTATTAATCCTGTAAAAAAGTGTATACATTTTACAAAATATTACCCCCCATAAAAAAAGGGATACACACACAATATAATCTCACCAGGTAAAAAATTTAATTTTTGGTGAAATTAATTCTTTCATAGATAAACAGTCGTGGAACACTTTTGAATTCAAGCAATCTGTACGTTTGCTTCCAATTGAAATGAAATTGTATCCCGTTGAAAGAGTTTACTTGATAAAGTCGCTTAAAAGAAGACGACAGCAGCCTTTGATTCACATCTTCTTCGTCATCAATGGATGATATTTCTGAGATCAGATGGGTAAAGTTGGATGTGCTCAACGCGTTGAAATCTTTTTCTATGCCTTCAGTTTTATTATACCTAGACACAGTGGGTGGATGGGTGGATGAAGGGGGTTAGTGGGGAAGAGTAAAGAGACGAATATAAAGTACTATTACCATAATTACCACTAATAATAATAACAGTAATAATAATAAGAATAATAATAATCCCATATTGAGTCTATAAGCATAAGGCACAAACAGCGAAGAAGAAAATTTTCTTTTCGACGATTCATTGTCATGACCTGCTGTACAATCGTAATTATAGTTAACACAGAAATCTTTAGGCCAATCAGATACTGGTAGATTTTGTCCTTGAAAAATTGTATTCCATAATGTAAGGTGTAAGAAGGGATGACTAATTGTGACTTATGAAAGAGACAGAAGTTCGCATGACGTGATATAAGTGTGAGATAATGACTAATCAATAAGCTCGTGTAGAATGGACAGGAACTAGTGGAAAGGACGATAAAGTGTTTTCTTTTTATATAAAATCTGTATGAAGAAGCATTTATCGATAAAAACATGAAGGGGAAGTCTCCGGTGTCAAACATCACAACGGTTCCTAAGAAGACTCTCTTCATGAACCTAGCAAAGGTGATATCACAGCGGAAATTCTAAGAAACAGCTTTTCTAAATGTCTGAAGAAAAGATTTCCAACAGACAATGTACGTATCACATTCTCCTGCAGACAGTTAATCCAGTCTAACGCTAAAGACAAGATACCACTTTTAGCCACCTTAATGTGTATTTATCAATTTACTTGCTCTTGTGCAGCAAAGTATATAGGCCGTACGCAACGTCAAGTCCACAAATGTATTCTGGAATACTGTCCAGTTTGGCTAGCTAGCCAGAGCAGAAAAGAAGAATAGCAACAGCTCGATCCTCGAACACCTTGTCATCTCTGGACATCGAACAACCCCCACTTGCATGAATGCTTTCACAGTGCTAAACAGAGTCCCTCAATTTCGTACAAAGGGACTTCGCACATGCCATCTGTACATAGCTGAGGCATTCGCTATTCAAGATCTGAAACCGGACCTCTGCATTCAAAAGCGATACAAACATTCTCTCACCCTACCATGGCCAGAGTAAAGTACTTACTACAATTTCGCTTTTTTTCTTCTTTTATGTACATTCACTATTATTATTATTATTAATACTTTTATTATCATTATTTTTCCCATCATCCACATTTTACTGCCACTCTATTACTGTTTATTAGTAGCATTGCTTTTTCATAGAGATTTTATATAAAAAAACACTTTATCGTCCTTTCCACTAGTTCCTGTCCATTCTACACGAGCTTATTGATTAGTCATTATCTCACACTTATATCACGTCATGCCAACTTCTGTCTCTTTTCTAACTTAACAATTAGTCATCCCGTCTAGGTTACACCTTACATTATGTAATACAATTTTTCAAGGACAAAATTTACCTGTAACTGATTGGTGTCAAAAATTTCTTTGTTTAATATAATAACGATTGTACAGCAGATCATGACAATGAATCGTCGAAAAGGAAATTTTCTTCGTCGTTTGTGTCTTTTTCTTATAACTCACTATGGGAATAATAATAATAATAATAATAGCATTATTCCAAACAGTACTTTTGATATAAGTATAGAATTTTCAGCATGTAAGTGAGTATTTACCCTCACACCCCACCTGGTGGACCCTACTAGTCAACGAACGACTTAATGATACACGAGGCTCGCCTTGTAACCAGAAGGTCCTGGGTTCCAACCATGTCGGTGGGTGAGTACTGTTGAAGAGCCCCAAACTAGGACGAAACACCTATCCAGTACTCCCAGGTTTTGCAATGGTTCTCTAACCAATGTCAGCTCACGATGAAATCCTGTAAACAGTGTAACTAAGTCTTTCTTAAGTAACCCGGGGAAGATTAAGCGGGGAACAATAAAGAAGTATACGCAGAATATAAAGTTAGGGGAACAATAAGGAAGTATAGACAGAATACAAAAAATAACAAACGGTAAAAGCAGAGGCGGAATGATACTAGACCATCTTAACTTCCTTACATAGAACGTCAAACGAAATATCTTTCTGGAAACTAATTAACATGAGATAAGGGAAGACCAGGAAAGGTGATCAAAGGAAATGTACACAGTCCAAGGTATTTAACATTCGATCTGGTTTCAACTTCAGTACCATCTATGAATAGTAGAACCATGTAAATTAACCAGTTCATGTTATTTTAAAATTAACAAATTCTTTATTGGTGCACCACACAAAATCTTATCGTTTGTATGAGAGCTGAGAAACTGTCCGGACTTCCAGAACGAAGCAGGTGGTTATATCAAAGGCCCCCTTACTTTAAAGGCCTACGACTTGAAGTCGAATCCATAAGGTAGTGAGTAGAACAGCGTCAGGAGCTACGTTCCCATATGGTTTCCGGTGACCAAAATACAGCTTCATAAGCCATTCGATATTTCTCGAATTTTGAAGCCCATGTAAACCACCATCAGGATTTTCCAGCTCCCTCAGGCAGTAGACTGGCATGTCCACCAGCTGTAAGCGTTACTGAAGGCTGTCCAGAAAGGCAGCAGAACTAGACGGAATTCTCCCACCCCGAAGCATTGGAAACGAATCCAGAGACCGCAGCGGATATGCTAACGCCACTATTACAAAGTGTTTGGAAGGAAGGAAAGGTGTCTTCTGACTTGGAAGAAAGGCTACCTTGTCAAACTATCAAAGAAGGAAGACTTAGGCCTCCTCAAGAACTGGCGAGGAATCATACTACTGTCCACACCAAGCAAAATACTAAGCCACCTCATCCTGAAGACAGAATAAAGGATGCACTGGGTGCAGAACTCCGCCCGCCGGAACAAGATGAGCTCAGGAAAGGTGAATCATGTGCTGATCAAATGCCGACTCAACTCATCACCACCGAAAAGAGCATAGAATGACAGCAAAACCTCTACCTCTACTTCACCGACTTCAGAAAGGCCTTCCACAGTGTTTGCCATGTAGTGGTTTCGAAATTACTTCAAAACTATGGAGTGCAGTGCCCTAAATTTTTATCTACCCCATTCGGCAGCTATCTGACAATGCCGCGTGTCATGTGAACCACAACGGAAAACTCAGCGAGACGTTTGAAGTCAATACATGAGTAAGGAAATGCTGCCCACTACTATCACCGACAATGATATTCCCAATTGTGGTGGAAAATGGATTACTTATTTATTTATTTATTTTTGATTATAGCTCGATTGCACACAGTAGTTTTGGTACAAGTATGGAATTTTCAGCATGTGATATCGGTAGCCCAAATTTAGCAGGCGGACCATAGATATCAGGTGTGCGCCGGCGTGGGGGAAATGTAAAAATTAAATAAATAATAATAGTAGTGATAGTGATAATAATTATTATAATAATAATATTAATGACGGCATGCATGCCATATATACTCAGGATAATGACAACACCAGCAATAAGGAATTTAAATCATCAGTAGTACTTCCATACAGGGAAGGAAACCCCGAAACTCTACGGAGAATTCTTAACAATGCAGGAATAAAAGTGACATTGAAACCCACAGACTCAACTAGAAACAAGCTTTGTCGGTTAAAGGATCAACCCTGTGGAACCTTTAAGACCAGAGAATTTAGTTTATCTATTACCCTACTGGGATGATTGCCAGGTCGAATACATAGGTTAAATGTAGTAGAACACAGGAGCTGTTAGACTAGTGGAGCAAACAAATCTAGCAAAATCTAGATTAGTTGACCCGAATAAGATAATAAGAAATCTAGAGAATAGTTCAGCTATACCATTCACTACATGCAATTACACACAACCATACAATAGGATGGATGGGATAAGATAACACTTTTAAAATCTAATGTAACAGCAGGGTGGAAGGAGAGATTGATAACGGAAGCTTTAAGCTTATCGAATCAACTACAAAGACCTGTAATATCAGTGATTCAACACCTGTCTCAGATATCTGGAAAATTCTACTTCCCTGACGATGACAAATAGGAAAGAACAATCCGCGATCAACTCTTAAAAACATAACTAACCCTTACAAAAACCAAACTATATAAAATTAATCTGATGCTCGCTAGTGCTTGCTACAGGAAGGAGTTTCGTGGAGCGCTGGTGACAAGTCGTGACCACTGAGGTCCTCCAACCAAATGTTACGTGTGAAGATGGATGTTCCACCAACGACATCGGTTTGGGTGTCACTAAATCACGAATTCGTATTATTATATTATCATATTCTTTAATTCCTAGAGGAACATAGGGCTTCAGCTGCCCATCTCCATTGCCTTCTGTTTTCTGCCAACTTTTTCACTTCGCTCCAGGTCTGCCCACATGCTTTCATCTCCTCTTCACACGACCTCCTCCAAGTCACCCTTGCACTGACGACCAACTCGCCGCTTCCCATTTCCTCAGGTTCCACTCGAACGATGGTCTGTCGTGTGATGTCACTTGATGGTTTCCTAAGAGTATGGCCAATCCATCTCCATTTCTTTCTGCCTATTTGTTTCACAATCGGTTCCTGCTGAGTTGCTTCGCTCACAGAGATCTCTTCCTGTTGCTGATCTTTTCTGGCCGGCTATCTGATCTTGAGTATTGAGCGAAGACAACTGTTAATGAAGGTCTGAGGTTTGTTTGACATGCTCTTTATCACCCGGCGCCAAGTCTCTGATCCATATAGTAGCACTGACTGACTTTACATTGGAGTTGAAAATCCGGATCTTATTTTTGATCCTGAGTGCTGTTGACCTCCACACAGACTTGAGAGTAATGAAAGCTTGTCTTGCTTTTCCGATTCTGGCTTTGATATCCTCGTCAGTTCCACCGCCTGTAGTTAAAACGATGCTTCCCAGGTAGGTCAGTGAAGGAGGTTGTTTCTTTCAGGTTCCTCCCATTTATGCAGGCTGATTGTTGTCTGTTGTTGTTGTTGCTGTTGGCCAGGGATCTTCATCACCACATCTGTTTTTTCTGTGTTCACTTGAAGTCCTATATTTGATGCTTCTTCTGCCAGCTTGTTACTTTTCATTTGCATATGTTCCAGTTTGTGGGAAATCAGACATATATATCATCGGCGAATTCATGGTCTGGCCAATGAATCTGGTCCCAGTGGCTCAATGGTATACGAGCTTGCTTGCTTGGAACCGGAAGGTCCTGGTTTCTAACCCTGGTGGGTGGGTGGCACTGCCAAGGATTCCCAGACTAGCATGAAACAGCTGTCCAGTACTTCCTCCAGATGGTTTTCAATGGTTCTCTAACTGATATCAATCCGTGATCACCTCGTAAAAACTATAAAACTCAGGTTTCGAAGTCTTGTGATTATAACTGATGATAGAATTATGAACAATAATGAATTGTGTTCAAAACCTTGTCAAACAGTATATAATACTGTTTCATTGGTTGTATAATACATCTAATAAACACGTTAATATAGAATTACACATACCACCATAGTGCCCAAGATTTACACGTCTATTAAGTCGGGTTTCAATCGTTTTACATTGAGATTGTGTTATATAATTTAGAAAAATAAAAATTAATACGGACACAGATTAGATAAAGAAAGGCATTCAACTTACATCCATTTATCATGTATTTGTAAAAAGCGTGTAACACCAGTTTGTGCAGCCAAATTACAAATATGCACATGAACATCTAAAAAGCAATTCAGAGAAAAGGGAGAAAATCTGTAGCTCAAGTGGATGATTTTGATGTAATTGTGTTCTTTAAGCTAGCTGGACAAACTTTCATTGCCCTGTCCCCCCCCACTGCTAGGCAACATCTTCAGTGCATCATGCTTCAATTTGTTGAAGTGAGGCTTTAAATTTCTCCACGAGTTTATAAATCCTCTCCCCTGCTTAGCGCCCATAAAAAACTATTCTACATGAACCTTCAATTCAATGGAGATATATCTGCGGAAACACTAAAAAATCGACTGTAGGGCGCTCACTCAAGAAGACTTTCTTCACAGCTGAACTACGACTAACTTTCTCCACAAAACCTATGATTCATGTGAACGTGAAAAGGTTAAGCTACCACTGCTGGCCTCATCAATGTGTATTTATCAATTCACCTGTTCGTGTGGAGCCAGGTATGTCAGCCGTACCCAGCGTTCGCTTTCCAAGCGTATCACCGAACACTTTCCAACATGGTTAGAACATCTGATAGAATCGGGACACCAAGCCGCACCCCAAACAAACTTCAAAGTCGTTTACAGAGTAAGAAGTAGTCTTACTAAAGGTGTACGAATCAGACTTCTTCAAACTGCAGAAACAATGGTGATTCATTTGCTAAGTCCTGAATTCTGCATACAGAAGAAGTTCCTTCAATCACTACACTTGCAATGGACGTAATCTATCTTATTACCCGACAAGTAAATTCTACCTAATCCTTTCTTTTTATGTCTCTTCATTAGTATTATTTTGTCTTTTCAATTGTAATATTTTACATTTCCAACCTTCCTTTTTCTCTACCCCCTACCCGATTTAACTTCTACACCTCATTACCACTGTTAGTGACTTGACCAACGCTCAATTTCTAGTCATTTATGCTACCTCATCCAACTTATTTGCTCAATTTTAAGTCTAATTCAAATGGCATTATCCTCTACCCCACTTCTACTTAGTCTCTACCTGTAATTACCTCTATTGCTACCCTGGCATAAGTTGAAACATTTTAGTCAATTATATTACGTCATCTAACTTACTAACTAACTCAATCTTACTTTAGTTGCTGTCTAATTATCCTTGTTTCTATATTAGATCATTCTTTTATTATCTAATGAATTATCTAAACTTGACAAACCTCATGTACACACACACACACACACAAATAATTATATATAAATGCGACTGTACAGTTATGTGAATGAATTCGCCGTCGAAAAGAGTCTCTTTGCTGAACGTCTTCTCTTTTTTATATGACTCAATGGGGATTTTCAAACTTTGGTTGTGACTAGTAGTTTTTGTGTGTTTTCATACCATCTAGGCTAATTGTGGTGTTAGTACTGATTGTTCTCTTGACCTTAAGTTTGACCCTTTGTGTGTGTGTGAGAGAGAGAGAGATTTCCTTCTTATCGATTGGTAAATTTTGTCTATGTCAATATATGTCTACTCACTGGAATACCAGGCTTCCTTCCTGACCAAAAGCTGCTATCTTGAAGTGGTGGTCGGGCTTGAACACTGCAACGACCTAATCAAGCTATACTGGCTGAGACTTATGTCTCTTGAGGTCCTATCATGCCAGAAAGGTTGTCTGGATAGCGGTTAGACAAAAAGCAACTACCCAATCCAACCCAATACTATGATTCAAACAAATTCACAAAATACCATGCCGGATCGGCCGGGGCCCGCATTAACAACGACCGCGCTTCCTGCTGCCATGTCACAGGGCAGGAGTGATATAAATATGCTACTGAGACACACCAAACAATAAAGAACAAACAAAAATAGGCCGTGTGTGTGAGCGGCCTCAAGCAGTTGTCCCCTGCGGGCACTGCAGTCACGCAACCAACCAACTTCCACGGTGTGGCCAGCCGGGAAGTAACAATCGCCCTCACAATCTGACATGCACACGAAACCTCTCTAATCCTCACTCATCTTTGTCTTCATCTTCATCTCTATTGTCTTGTCTTCCTACTACTAATGCAACTCCCCTACTTTAATGGCTCTTCACTTCCTCTTCACTCTATGTCCACTAAAAACGACGGAAGCCAGGCTTCCGAAAAGTCTCTGGCAGTCTTGGTGTTTCTTCTGTCTAATATCTGAACACTGGTTGTCCCAGTCGAATTGATGTCCATGGTTGTCTGTATGCAGTGATATCATATCGAGACAGCGTTCAAGTATTAGATAGAGGAAACACCAAGAATGAGCCAGAGGATTTTTTAGAAACCCGCCTGGTATTCTCCAGTGAGTCATCAATCGATAGACACACTGATATAGACAAAATTTACCAATCGATAAACAGGATATCTCCTGCACAAAAAGGGTCAAACTTCAGGTCAAGAAAATAATCAACACCACAATACCACAAGCCTCCAAAGCCTCAGGATGGTCGGGGGTGGGTGCCTTGCGCTGCGGGTTGGCCACCCCTCCGCACACCTCTTGAAATGCTCCCATATGACCGGGCGTCTTACATAGCCTCTCCTGAGGAAGTCCTACTCACTGCCTTCACGTGGCGGAGGTGTTTCTCACCAAAGTGAGAGGGCGAAAGCGGATGCCTGGCGCTCTCCACCGGGTTGACTGTCCATTGGATGACAGTCTAGGGGAGATGGCTAAACCCTGATTCCAAACCTGCAACGATTGGCGTATGAAGCTCACTGGAGCTCACCGGCAGACGTATGGACAAAGGGCTTGTTGGATGTCCTGGATGTCTGGCCCCATTCAAAAAGGCGTATGAACCGAACTCCGGTCATCGGCTGCCAATGGATAGTGGACTCCTTACTCCACTCCTACTGCCTTGTAGGTCACACTTGGTTGTGTAAAGGCTAGAGCTGCACTCTCAAACAAAAGGCCGAGCGATTCTGGGGAAATCACTCGTACCAAATTCCCATGAAACTTCATGAACTCTCTTACAAATTGCCGCACCTGGGCAGCGATGATTCGAGACGTTCATGAAGCCGGCTCATCCTCCCGTAGGAGATAGCCGAAGTAAAGTAAAGTAAGTAAAGTAATACCACAAGCAGACTAGAGGGTGTGAAAACACACACACAAAAACAACCAGAGTCACGTTCTAGGTCACCCACCAGGAGAGATGACCTAATAGTGAACTCATGGAGAAAAATCTAAAAGTTCACTTCAACAAACTGAAGTAGTATGCGCTGAAGATGTTCCCTAGTACGGGGCATGCGATTCGCCCCTACAAAATGTAAGATGCTACTACAGGACTGGACCACGTCAACTCCTAACTTAGTGATAGGGAGTGAAGTGATAGAACATGTTGACCACTTCACCTATTTGGGAAGTTGTATTAGCACCAACGGACTGATTGGCGATGAAATCTTAGCACGGATCCGAAAAGCTCGAGCTGCTTTCGCTGACTTACACCATCTCTGGCGTAGGCGTGACATCCGGTTATCAGCCAAGGGACGTGTGTACTGCTCAGCAGTTCGCTCTGTCCTTCTCTATTGCTCTGAAACAAGGCCAATACGAGTTGAAGACATGAAAAGGTTGACTGCTTTCGATCACAGATGTCTGCGATCTCTGTCTCACGTTAGGTGGTGGTATAATAAGGTAAGTAATGTTGACGTTAGGCGTAGAGTGTTGGGCAAAGAGGGAAAATCAATCAACGAGGCTATAAAGTTACATAGACTGAGATGGTTAGGTCACGTGCTGCGCATGCCTAACCATCGCCTCCCCCGACGGGCATTGCTAGCTGATATAGGTGCAGGCTGGAAAAGAGTAAGTGGTGGCCAAACAAAACCATGGCCTCATCAATACATGAAATCCTTGACAGTTAAACTGAGTCGGTCAGGTAGGGAGATGCAGACTTCCGGGTTGGGGCCCTCGGGACTGACTCTAGGAATCAATGGCTGGAGACAATAGGTTACATGGCTCAAAGTCGTTGTCAATGCCTAGCGCAGATGTATTCAGTCTCTGTAATCTTTCATATTCCTTTCTACCATTACCCATTCAGTTTCGCACTTATACTTGTCAAACTCTATTGATTCTCTTCACTCATCTTCTTGTCTACCTCTGTGTGCTATTTGGAACGTAGCAACTCGAACTGCTGCACTTTGGTGCCAAGTTCTATGTTGAATCCAGACAGACAGACTAGTACGGGGCAGGGCAATGAAAGCTCGTCAAATAATCCATCCAGCTGGGTGAACACAACTAAATCAAAGAGATGCATTTTCCAATAAGCAACAGTTAGTACGGTATCAAGTACGATATAAAAATATAAAAGAGGAATAATTGAATTCACAGAATATACACATTAGATCATAGGAAGCATTAGAAAGACAGTTGCAGCGAAGAGAAACTCCTCTTTATTTTCGACGAAGTCATCAACTGACTGACTGACTGACCAGTTTCAACATAAAACCTTCCGCAGATATGCATCAGTTCCAGTTGCCATACTCCCTCTATGTAGCACATAAGGCAAGAGAAGCGAGATTCAAAACACAGCTAATAGACATAAATATGGGGCAAAAAGAAACGTAATATAGAAAAAAAATAACACTTTATTGGACAGTATAAATCACAAGGAGTGGATGCATCCGAGGCAACCACTGAGAACGATTTTGAGATGTATCAGAAATTATCTCCCGAAGAACCCAACCAGTCAGGAAGTCTACACCTCCCCACGTGGCTGGCTGGCTGGCTTAAACTAACTGTTATGGATTTCGCTGACTGATGAAGCCATGTTTTTCGTTTGACCACCATGTGCTAACTCTTTACCAACACGATCAATCCTATGTCAGCTAACATATCTCGTCAAGGAAAGAGATTAGCTAGGGATGTATGCGTAACACATGTCCTAACCATCTTACACTGTCCAGAATAAAGCCAGTATTATTACCATTATTTTATGTAAAGATCCTGGACGTAGAGATCTTACACTGTATATTATGCTAAAACTTTGCTCAGAAGAAAGCTGCTACTATCAATATCAAATTGCACCATTAACGAAACAAAGAACGGATGAGGTGCCTAAAAGTTTCTTTTATTATATTTATCCCAAATTCTAGGTCGATGACGGTAAGGACAGTAAATCTATGCAATCGTTTCCTGATATATATAATTCTCTTGGGTTCCGAGTGGAACAGAGGGCTTCAAAAGCACATTTCCATTTTTTTCCACTTCCTTGAAGCACTCTTTACCTGGCCCCACATGATTGCCCGTCAGCTCTCACCTTCTCATCATATGATCTCCTCCATGTCACTCTAAAACCCACGCCTAATTCGTCGCTCCTTCCCGTGTGGTGTTACAGTCGAGTGATGGTCTGGTTAACGTGCTATAGCATTCAACGATCTCCTCAGTAACATGTATCCCATTCACCTCCACTTTTTCTTAATCATATTTGCTGAGCAATAGGTTCTTGACTGGTTTGTTCATCGTCAGGATTTTTCTTGTTACCCCCCTTCTGCCAGTTGTTTGACGGAAGTCTGCAGTGGCTTGTTAGGAATGCTTTACGTGACGCCCTAGGCATATTTCTGACCCACATAGAATAACTGACTTAATATGTGTATAGGATGTTCAAGTGAAGACAATATTTGTCGGCAGTACATTGTATGACATGAAGTCCCTCCATCTACAAAAAAAAGGCTCAGTCCTTCACATTTTCCCTTCATTGTATTCTTGAAATGATGTACAGCTCAAAGAAGAAGAGAGGTGGTGGTATTGCCACTTTTATTAATTCTCAGTGGTCTACTGCCAACAACGTCTGCTTCAAATTCTCAAATGACAATATTGACTGTATAACTGTAAAATGTCGACCTAAACACTTACCTAAGTACAGCTCCATTTTTGTCACAAATATCTATATCACACCTTGTTGCAGTCCCTCAGAACTATCTATCTTCGCTGATGAATTCACTATTTTTGCTGCTGCTTCGTTTGGTAACTCCTTATCTATAGTGACTGGCGACTTCAACTCCAGCGACTGCAGTTTTATTACATTGCTGGGCCATGAAAATGTTGTTAATTTCCCAACTCGACAAAATACTTCACTTGATTTAGTATTTGTAAATGATTCTGGAATATACGAAGCTCGTAAAAGAGCCCCGCTCTTCAATTCTGATCATTGTATTGTACGAGTCTTACCCAAAATTTACGGAAAGTTACACAGTAAAGCCCTCTCAAACTTGTCTAAGAAAGTTGTTCACAGATGCTACTCAAATGAGAACGTACATCATCTTAGAAACATGCTCAGTGACACAAGATGGGATTTGTTTAATGTTGATTCACTTAATGACAATATCTCTAATATTACATCCTATCTGAAATTCTGTTTTGAAATCTGTTGTCCAAAAGAAACACTATTCGTCAAATTTGACCGTTTCTCCTCGCCTCAACTTAAAAAGCTTCGTAGAGAGAAGGAAAAACTATATAAATCAAAGATAAAATTGGTGTAAAAAGAACTAACTTCTTAATTAAGTCTGAAATGCAGAGGTTGAATGTAATATATAACCAGAAATTCATGTCCTGCAAAAATCCTTCTAATATGTGGAAACTATTTAAGGAAATCACTGGTGGTAAGCAGATAAACAATATTCCATATTCTTTTGATGTATGTACTCTTAACAAATCTTTTATTTACTCTCCCTCAAATGCCATGCTTCCCAGCATCACTTGTGTTAATAATAGCCCCTTTCCAGGTTTTAACACAAATGATGTTCAAAAGTGCCTCAAGTCTCTAAACCCTTCCCAGAGCTTAGGTCCCGATTATGTACCTAGTATTATTTTTAAAAAGTGTTCTGATATTCTGTGTCACCCTCTTACTGATCTATTTAACAAATCTTTTTCCGATAATATTGTGCCTGCCGTTTGGAAGGACATTAAAGTTGTACCCATACCTAAATCTTCTACTGGAGCATGTGTCAAATTTAGACCCATTGCTATTACGTCTCCTTTTTTGAAAACTATGGAGAAATTACTTTTACTTAGTCTTGAACCTTCGCTTAAATCCTTTAATGACCCTAAACAATTTGCCTATAAGCACAGTAGAAGCACTTTAGATGCAGCTGCCGTCTTATATCATAACATTGCTTCCAGTCTAGACAAGGGGGCTAAATTTGTTCGTTGCGCCTTCCTAGACTATACATCTGGCTTCGACTCGGTCCCTAGGGACATCTTATTAAATAAACTTGCTGCTAGTCAAACAGAATGTTGGGCTGTTAACTGGTTGCATTCCTATTTCTCAGATAGAAAGCAGTACACCGTATATAAAGGGAAGTCCTCCACTTCATTGCCTACTGAAGCTGGTGTCCCTCAAGGTGCTGTTCTTTCTCCTTTTCTTTTTTCTTTCTTCTTGCACGACTTGCCTCACTCTGATGAAATAAACTTTGTGAAGTATGCTGATGATTTAACGGTTTCAATGGCTGTTAACTCCCAGCTAGATTGTACTAAAATAAATAGCTTTCTATCGGAAGTCAGCAAATGGTCTGAGTCTAACGGTCTTAAACTGAATCCTTCTAAGTGTCAAACTGTTGATTTCAGCTTAAGATGTAAACGACAGTTAAAAGAAGTCATCGATTCTCATGACACTTGTAAAATTGACGACAATGATATAGGAATCAAATCAGAAATTAAGTATCTTGGACTCATTCTCTCTTCTGATCTCTCCTGGTCTTCCCATGTCTTAGCAATCTCCAGTAAAATATTCCGCCTGACATTTTACATTAAGAAGTTAAGACACTCGGGTATAACTCAACCCCTCATCCTACAGTTCGTAAACTCTTGCATCCTACCTATTCTTCTTTATTGCTCACCCTTATTCTTTCCTGGTTTGCTTAAAAAAGACTATGTCACAATTCGTAGAATACTGAAGACTGTCAGTAGAGTGAGTGGTGTCCCAGTGGACCACATAGTTAACGTCGTTGTCGATAGGCATTTGACTTCGTGCAATAAATTTGCTAAAGGGATTTTGTCTGACTTGGAGCATCCGCTTTACCCTCAGCTTTCACCTTGCATCTCCTCAGGTAGAACAAGGAGTAACTTCAGAAAACTGTATGCTCGCACGTCTAAGTATAAGAATTCTATGATACCATACTTGGCACGTATTTTATGTGATGAAAATAGTGTCAGGCAAGAATTAACTAACCTTTTTCATCTAGTAAATAAACAATTTCCTCCATCCATCCTTATATACCTTCAAGTTTTACTTTTATTACTTCTATTATATTTATGGTCCTGTTACTTCTTTGTTTTACTCTCATAATTGCAAACACCAACTTATCTCCATGACGGCTGTAATCTTTGTTTTTCCCCTCACCATATCATGTAAAGAGAACATTATATTCAATATTTTTAAACATGTTAGGATTTCTATACCACATTGACAATACTGTGTGGCACAAGCCAACGGCAATTTTCACTTGTATTCTTATTATTATTACCCTAGCTGTTATCATTATTATTGCTATTTCCATTTTATATGCTGCATGTTTTTGACACTACCTCTATTGTAAATGTGGAAAATTTTCTGTGTGATTAATTTTATTTATAATTTGAGGAAATTAGATGCAATATTGTGATTAATGCTGAAAATTCCATTCTGTATCACAAGTACTGTTTTTGGAATAAAGTAAATCATTATTATTATTATTATTATTATTATTATTATTATTATTATTATTATTATTATTACAGCGGTAGATTGGATGTCAATTAAAACTTCATCCTAATTTAGGACTATTCAGATGGTCTACAAACTTGCCTTGTAACCGTAAGGTTTTGGGTTCGAACCCCAATGGGTGAGTACGGATGAAGGGGCCCAAATGAAAGGACGAAGCAGCTGATCAGTACTCCCTAGTTTTCAACCATTCTATAACTGATATCAATCGGTGATCGAACACTTGGAACAAGAGGTGTCGACAAGGCAATGTCAAACTGATTCACTGACAAAAATGAAAAGCTCATGAATATAGACATCAAAAAAGAAAAAAGGCTCGAATAAAAAAAATCCAAGTGGAAGTAAAACATAAATGATGAAGCATATACAACAGGTAGAGTATAATCATACAAGGAAAACCACTAAAGACAGTAAAGAATGTTGATATAGTTGATGAGATTCAGGTACATGAATATTTGTAGGCACAAATTATGGTACTTACTAATATTAAGTAGTATAAGTTTTTGAAATAAAAAAACGGGAGCACGTCTTACAAGAAGCAAAGTAAAGCATTGAGGGCAGCTTTCTCCTTTTTTTTAATTGCTTGTTTGCAGGGATCTTATTTAATTGGTTACAGGATATCATCACGAGATAGCCGTCCAGTACTTCCTGCAGGTTTTCCAATGGTTTCTTAACCGATATCAGAGCGTGATGAAATATTTCCTCATTGGCTTCATATATATATTCACTTAAAATTTAGTGATTCGACAATTAGTTCAATCCTAAAGTCTTTGAACCATTTAGAAGCCCTGAATTGAGATCAGTCACAGAGTTTTCAGACCTCGATTTCTGTGCTAACTACTGCATATCTACACAGTGATTTCAGCGGAATAATATAAACACGCCTGATCTTGCTTTCACGCTCCTTCTTAGCTGACATTCTCATCCGTGTTGTATGTAGTTGAAACGGCGTTGCACATGGTAAGTCGAACAAAAAACTTCCTTTAGACTTCTCACATTGATGCTAGTGACTGATGCTTGTTGTTGCTGTTGTCAGTCTGAGGAGGTACTTTAATCACTTCTGTGTTCTCTATGTTCACTTGAAGTTCAACTGTTGGTTTGCAGTGATTTGATTGGTTCCAGGATTTCATGATGAACTGACGCCATTTAGAAGACCATTGGAAAACCTGGGAGTATTACATATATGTTTCGTCCTAGATTGGGACTCCTCATAAGTATGCACCCACCACAACGGCTCGGAACCAGGACTAACTGGTTACAAGGCAAGCTAACTCGTACACCATTTAACTCCTGGAACCCCACCCAATGACCGGTCCATGAATTCCAACTTCTGCCAATTCATGACATAGCGCGCAACCACTAGCGAATGTCAGCGGTGAGTATTCGTCCTCACACCCGTCCTGCTGTACCCCACTGTTCACTACTTCTCACTAAAATCCAGGTAACTACTACCAACCTGACTAGGACCAGTCACTAGTGAGCATCTCAATGATATTCAAGTGTTGGTTTGTAGGGAGTTGATTAGTCTCAGGATTTCATCATGAACTGACGTTGGTTAGAGGACCATAGGAAAACCAGGCAGGGAGTACTGGACAGCTAGCTCCTTCGTCCTTGTGTGTGTGTGTGTGACTCTTCATCCATTGAGGTTCGAATTCAGGACCTTGACTCGTCTTCACAGATTCTTCTGACCACTTGTTGATTTTCGAGTTTGTGCGTTATAAGACATAAATCATCTGCGAAATCCAGATCTTCTACGGCCTTTTATTCGGTTCACCAAATGCCAGCCGTTTCCCTTTCCATAGTTCGTCTCACACGATAAAGTTCACAACACTATCGGGCAGATTATCGGTGAATGTAGACACCCAGCCTTGTTGCAACTCTTATCTTCACTTCAATAGCTTCGCTGAGCTTTCTGTTGTAAATCCCTAGCCATGTGACATCATCATATTGATGTTGAATAAAATTCATACACATTCGCAACACTGTATTCCACACAGATTTAAGTAGTTTCCAAATTATCTCACAGTTGATGCTGTCTAAGGCCCTTTTCAAAGTCGATGAAGTTGAGCTACACATAATTGTGGTGCAATCATCTGATCTACGCATAACTAACTTGGCTTTTTTCCCTGAATTGAGACAGAAATAGGTAGAATGAGATATAAAGCTAAGAT